ATACCGCCCCTGAGTTTCACCATTGGCAACAAGGCAAAAAACCCGTCCACAGAAAAAAAAAAAAAAAAAAAAAAAAAACGCCACGGAAATATCTCCTTTCACGATTCCTTGGAAAGTGTGTAGGAAGCGTCTCAGGTCTGTTCTGGGTAATAGCAAATGGGATTCCTTGCTGAGGAATACCACCTGAGTTGGAGGTGGCAGGGGTTCCCCCTCGTGGTAGCCTGGCCAGACTTGACCCTCCCTAGACTTGTCACTGTGAAGAGATTTTGTTCACTTACTGGTGCCTCCGTTTTTAGTAAATGAAACTTTCATTTAATTCATACAACTTGGAAGATGGGCCGGGCGCGGTGGCTCAAGCCTGTAATCCCAGCACTTTGGGAGGCCGAGGCGGGTGGATCACGAGGTCAAGAGATCGAGACCATCCTGGTCAACATGGTGAAACCCCGTCTCTACTAAAAATACAAAAAATCAGCTGGGCATGGTGGCGCGTGCCTGTAATCCCAGCTACTCAGGAGGCTGAGGCAGGAGAATTGCCTGAACCCAGGAGGCGGAGGTTGCGGTGAGCCGAGATCGCGCCATTGCACTCCAGCCTGGGTAAAAAGCGAGAAACCCCCTCTCCAAACAAGAAAAAAAAAAAAAAAAAGAACTTGGAAGATAAAATATTTCCAGGCCGGGCATGGTGGATCACACCTGCAATCCCAACACTTTGGGAGGCCGAGGCGGGCAGATTACTTGAGGTCAGGAGTTGGAGACCAGCTTGGCCAACACGGTGAAACCCCGTCCCTACTAAACTACAAACATTAGCCGTGTGTGGTGGCGCGCGCCTGTAGTCCCGGCTACTCGGGAGGCTGAGGCAGGAGGATCACTTGAACCCCAGAGGTGGAGGTTGTGCCTCTGCACTCTAGCCTGGGCGACGGAGTGAGACTCTGTGTCAAAAAAAAAGAAAAAAAATTGGCCGGGCGCGGTGGTTCACGCCTGTAATTCCGGCATTTTGGGAGGCCGTGGCAGGCGGATCACAAGGTCAGGAGATCGAGACCATCCGGCCAACATGATAAAACCCCGTCTCTACTAAAAATACAAAAATCAGCTGAGTGTGGTGGCATGCGCCTGAAATCCCAGCTACTCAGGAGGCTGAGGCAGGAGAATCGCTTGAAGCCGGGAGGCAGAGATTGCAGTGAGCCGAGATCGCGCCACTGCAGTTCCAGTCTGGTCACAGAGTGAGACTCTGTCTCAAAAAAATAAAAAAATTTCCAACGCGGTGGATTTTAGGAAAAAAATTAAAATTAAAATGTTTGTCTTATATTCCACATGTGAAACATTGCCTGGAGAGTGGTGTGTAACTTTCTCAGATCTGTTACCTTTTCTTTTATTACTGTTATTTCTTTGAGTTCTCTGTTGCCCAGTGATGTGATCATAGCTCAGTGCAGCCTCCACCTCCTGGACTCAAGTGATCCTCCTCCTTCAGCCTCCTGAACACAGGGACTCCAGGTGCGGGCCACCATGCCTAAGTTTTTGTATTTTTTTTTTAAGGGATGGGTCTCACTATGTTGCCCATGCTGGTCCCAAACACCTGAGCTCAAGTGATTCTCCCGCCTGTACCAGCCTTGTTCTTTTCTTTGCAAAAGGCCAACTTGGCCGGGCGTTGTGGTTTATGCCTGTAATTCCAGCACTTTGGAGGCCGAGGTGGGCGGATCACGAGGTTGAGATTTAGACCATCCTGGCCAACATGGTGAAATGCTGTCTCTACTAAAGATACAAAAATTAGCTGGATATGGTGGCGTGCACTTGTAATCCCAGCTACTTGGGAGGCTGAGGCAGAAGAATTGCTTGAATCTAGGAGGTGGAGGTAGCAGTGAGCTGAGATCGTGCCACTGCACTCCAGCCTGGTGACAGAGCAAGACTCCGTCTTAAAAAAAAAAAAAAAGGTGGGGGGGGCAAGTTTGCAGGCAGGACGATGCAACAAATAGGATTCCAGGGCATAGACTTCAAAATGTTACTGGGGAGAAGAAGCTCAGAGAAACAGAGAAAATCTCCTTTCCACTACAGGTGCAGAAAAACGAATACATTTCCACAAAACATGTTGCAGGTAAATTATGAAAATTTACCAAAATAATGTTACTCTCCTTGACATAGTGGAGAAGTTTTAGCAGTGGATGATTCTGTTTTGCTTCCAGTACTCCAGTACCGTTTCCTTAATTCTGTAATACATTTTTTGTTGTTCCTGAAGTAGGTAGAATACAAGATACTTTTCTTGTTTAGCTGACAATTTGTCATGGCTCCATATATTAAAACGTTCATCTCCTGCACTGCCGGCCCTGGCACTGACCTAATTTCCCCATACACAGGGGCTGCCTCAGGGCTGTGTTCCTTTACGTCTTTTTTTTTTGAGAGGGTGTTTGGCTCTTGTTGCCCAGGCCGTAGTGCAATGGCAGCAAAGGCTCACTGCAACTTCCACCTCCTGGGTTCAAGCAATTCTCCTGCCTCAGCCCCCCGAGTAGCTGGGATTACAGGCTTCCGCCACCACGCCCAGCTAATTTTTGTAGTTTTAGTAGAGACGGGATTTCACCATGTTGGCCACGCTGGTCTTGAACTCCTGACCTCAGGTGATCTGCCCTCCTCAACTACCCAAAGTGCTGGGATTACAGGTGTGAGCCACTGCACTTGGCCTTTTTTTTTTTTTTTTTTTTTTTTTTGGCATTTCTAGTAAAGATGGGGTTTCGCCATGTTGGCCAGGCTAGTCTCGAACTCCTGACCTCAGATCACCTGCCTGCCTCGGACTCCCAGAGTGCTGAGATTACAGATGTGAGCCACCGTGCCTGGCCCTTCCACAGAATTATTATGGAAGGACCCTATGAAGTAGGGTGAGACCATACAGCATTATTGATTTCACTTGTGCTCTTCAGGATCCTGGACTGACTTAGCCAGTTTAATAATGGCCACTCTGACTGGTGTGAGATTCCGTTGACTGCAGTGGAATTGTTAGTTTTATTTCAGACTCAGGGCACGTGCAGGTTTCTTACAAGGGTATATTGCATGATGCTGAGGTTTAGGCTTCCATTGATCTTGTCACCCAGATAGTGGACACAGTAGCCACGAAGGGGTTGTTCAGCCCTTTCCCCCTCTGTCTCTCCATGTGGAATCCCCGGCGTCTGTTGTTTCTATTTTTATGTCTGTGAATTAAATGCCATGTTTATTCAGCTCCCGGGCGAAGTTCCACGGTCCCGGGGAAAGGGGACAGAGAAGTCGCGCTGACTTCCTGGGGTGGGGGGGGCGGTTATGGCTATGAGGAAGCAGCAACAGCTGGGTGCTCTGATTGGGTCCAGGGGAGCGGGATTGAGACGGGGCGGGCCGCTATTGGTTGGCGGGTTGTTGGGCGGGTTTTCCAGTGAGAGAGCAGGCCAGGGTTGCATTAGCCGGAGCCTTCCAGGGGAGCCATGTGGCAGAGCTGGGTGCCGAGTGCAGAGCCTGGTGCCGGGTGCAGAGTCAGGTGCTGAGTGCAGAGGTGGGTGTGTCCAGCCTCCCGGCGAGGCAACCGGCCGTAGAACTTCCTTCTTTTTCGTGGCTGTGTAGTATTCCATGGTGGGTATGTTCCACATTTTCTGTAA